CCTTTACCCATTCAATAGTTAGGATTAGTTTTCTAGATTAGAAATTGTAGTCGAAATTTAGGTTTAATCTTAGCGTTAGTTATGTGGTTAGTTTAATCTTAGCGTTAGTTGTTTTAGTTATTTTTGAAGAAGACCCTTCAAGCCGGGGGGGGGGGGTGCGCGGAAAACCATTCGTATTTTTATTTTATTCGAGGGTATGCTTGCAAAGCTTTGTCCTTCCTTCAACCTATCCCTTCCGTACACACCGGGGTGGTGGGGTGAGAGGGGAAAGAAGAGATTCTAGAATGTTGCGTGATTCTCGCAACCAATGAGAAGGGCGCCCGACTTCGGTGGGAAAGAAGCCGATATAAGCTCGCGCGCTGCCCTCGAGTGCTCTCTTGCCTTTGCGCCGCTAGTTGCAACCACACCGCCTGAGACAGTCGCGTCCTAGAGGGCTCTTGCCCACGCGCACCGCTAGTTTCAACCGCACCACCTGGAGCAGTCGAGCTCCAAAAGTAACCACCTCATGTAGTGAGATATCGTCGCGCACCGCTCTCTTCCATCGCACTACCGACCAGGACCGCATCCCTGGGGCCCCAGGAGATCCGCCAGAAGTAGCACCGCAGCAACGGAAGCGTCCAAGCCGCATCAAAGTCCCACCCCGGTAAGTGCGCTTCTTTTCCTATGACGCCTGCTTGAGTATTTGTGTTTTGTGAATTATTCCGCCCCAAATTCATTTCTCTTAATATGCTCAAGCAGGATTCTTTCATAACCTTGGCAAGCAATAGTTTTTTTTTTTTTTGAAGAGCGAGTGCATTGTCAAGTAAAAATGCCAAATCCGCTATCTTGCTTAGGCATCATCCGCGTATACAGTCCATATAGTGTAAACATCTCGCGTAATAGAGCCAAGGCTCGACCGGGAATTCGGAACTCGGGAACCCTTAGGCCCGCCGCCCAACCAATTGCTGATTATTATTTGTTTTGACATATACTTGTTTGTATGAAGTATAAGGGGTGCTAACTAAATAAAACAACAAAACATAAATCGACAGTGTGGCCTTAATTTGAAAAAAAAATGTGAAGAAAGAGGTTTGTAAGATATGTAAAAAGAAGTTTATATAGATATTAAAATACTAGAGACATAAATGTTTAATATTTGTATTTTATTTCATATTGCCACATATTACTTATTAAATAAGGGTACACATTTAAAATGCTTTAACTAAAGTAATCGCTACACTTAAGTCGAGTGATAAACTTTTACTCGATGCAGGAACTGTAAATAATTAATTCGAATTACTCGAAAACTCGAGTATAACTGGAGTGAAATGTCACAGGACATGACATGATAAATAATTAACCCGAGTGACTCGAGTTACAAAATTCTAGTCAAGTCGCATCTTTATCTTACGATCACTGGTCTGCCTACAATTTAGTGATGAACTCGACTAATTCGAATAATTTACGATAGTTAAATTAGTAATAACATTAAAACCACAATCATAAAGTTAGAGTGGTAATATTTTGTCAATATTGTCTATACGCGAATTAAATTATAATTCCTTGCTTCATTTTCAGATATGATTATAACAATGTAGTTTCCCTACTTACTTGGTAACTTCTCACATGTTTTAAAGATTTTTTAAACGGTTTAGTGACGTACTTCCGACATGCTTTGTGTTGGGTCTTTGACGTAAGCTCATTTTCCATTTCATGCGCGGTAACTATCGCACGCGCTCTGCAAGCAACATACTAAAAAGAAGCGCACAGACGAAACTTGAACACTGTTTTTTTTTTATAGGATAGGGTGACAAACGAGCACACAGTCCACCTGATGGTAAGTGGTTGCTGTGGCCCATAGACATCTACATCTATCCTCAATTACGAATCAAAATGTAGATGCGTTGCCACCCTTGAGGACTAAGAAAAGCAAAGCCTCGTTTCCAGTAAAAAGGGTCTCCGGCTCTCTACACTCACCATACGAAACACAGCAGCATTAAGCTACTATTTCACGCTGGTATTCTATGAGAGCGTGGTCCTTCCCCGGTCGAGCCGACCCATTCGTGCTACAACTATACATCTAATATAACTGCAGCATGGCTCTACCACGTATAAAAATACTCGAAAATACGCAAAATCAAAGAAAAAGAAAGGCAAAGATGAAGAATTTACAACTATCATCGTCAGAAGACAAAGGTAAGCAAAATACAATCTTGAATTAGTGATCAAAAAGTGCACAGTGTTATCAGTTTTGTAAATGCTCTGGGATTGACTGCGAGTCAATAACTTTGACATTTTGCAAAACTAAATTATAAAATAGGCGTTGTCACGCTTAACTTATTTACTTTAATTGCATCGGGGTTGACTGCGAGTCTTCAACGATGACAAAACATGCACAAATTACGTACAATCTAAAAGAGATGTAACGTTCGTGCAAATATTTACAATTTTGTTCTCACGCTACTCCCAATCGGTTATCTTCACAATTAAAATTGCAAATTGTAATTTTAGGTAACGAAGATCCTAACGTGACCTTGAGTAACGATAACGAACCCATCGTGGAACCAATAGCCGGGTCACCTGATATTTTGCACAACGTGGATCCTGTACCCGATGATGATCAGCGTGACGGCCATACGGAACCATGTCCTCAAGAGGAAACCAATAGTTCCTTAGAACCCGAGCTTGATCCCGATCTACTGTCAGCCCTCGGTGAAGCCACGTCGGACTCGCCGGATTATGGTGACAATATTCACGGTAATTTATCACAATTGTGGCTTCCTCTGCTAAAGAAAGGAATGCCTATATCTAGTAAAGACATCCTAATGAAGAATTACCCTATACCAGACAATTTTAGACTTTGGCAAGCGCCAAAATTGAACGCAGAAATCTCGGCGGCAATACCAGACATGATTTGTAACCAGGACAAGACACTTACAGCGTCTCAACAGCAGCTCGTTACGGGCATTACTGTCATCAACAGAGGCATGAACATGCTGCTGAAGAGTGATAACAAGGTTCTAGCCATGAAACACTTGAGTAATGGTTGCCGTCTACTTTGTGATTCACACTACTTGGCAACGCAGGCACGAGTATAATTAATCACTCCTAGTTTGGACAAGGCCTTCTTAAAATTTGTTAACGAGTCCAAATGGGACGAATCACTATTTTGATCGTCCTTGTCTGAGAAAATTAAATCCGCTAAGGCCATTGACAAGCAAGGCCTTTCCTTTAAAAAGCCTGCAAAAACTGCAAAGACACCTCAACAGCCCAGCACCCGTCCATCCGGGAAACGACAGCCCCCTCGATATCCGGCGTACAAAGGGGTGCATACAGTAAGCCGAGAAGGCAGGGAGTCGTTGCTCGTACACGTCGCCAGCGCAGCTGCCACAGCGCGCCGCGGCTCACGACAAACCTCGGGCGCCCGCACTTTCTCACCGTTGACGCAGGTACATGCAGGTACGACTGGATCAAAAGTATGGGTGCACAAAAAGTGACCAAAGGTATGACGGGGCGAACGATCTATTGGACTCTATTAACGTAGTTCGTAAGGAACCAAACCAAAATGTCAGACGTGGCACGTGGCGGACATTGGACAATATACCTGCTTTGAAATTAATTTGAGGCCTTGGCTGACAAGATGGGAGATGAGCTGCTGAAGATAAAGGAACAATAAATAAAACATCTCATAATAAGAATGGGCAATTACCTAGGGGGAAGCGGCGAGCAGCCTCTCTCTTGACACATCTCCCCTTTCTACTTGGCGGAGCGCACCTCTCATTGGAAGACCAAAGAGGCGTCCACCAGTATCTAGCTACCCCCTAGTAGGCAGGCCCGTGCGGGGAAGGAACTGAAGAGAGAAGGACGATACCAGCCAACTCAACTACCAAATACATCAACAAATACGCAATGCAAGGGTGTGTGTTAGCGCAACCAATTAGAATAAGGTATTCTTTTACGCATAGATATTTTACATTCCTTGGCCTTTCTCTGTATAATCAAGTTAATTCAAGATTGTAAAAATGTAATTCGACTATGGTTACAAAATTTGTCATACTATGATTCGGAAAAACTGCTGATTGTATTAAGATAATTAATATCATAGGTAAATTATTATAATAAATTATAACGAAACTAACCCTAATAATATGTTATGTTACTCATTTTATAGAAACAGAAAACATTTTTTAGTGTATTTATTAGCATATCACTTGAGATACAGGTTTATCCTCGTTCAGGTACTTGTTATTGTAGATTAAATGAAGACATTGATTGAATTGATTGTACAGTTTATTGAAATAAAATTATTACTATTTTTAGAATTTAATAATTACTGCTTTTAGGAAGTAAGTAGATCAAGTGTTACAGAAAAGGTAAAATTAATGTTACTTAAGTCCATATTATCTTGAATAGCATAATTAGCAATAAATTTGCTAACAATACGTATTAAATGATGATTCTAAGACTCTAAGAGTGATGAAGGTGCTTCGGTACAACACCTGTAGTGGAGAACACTATCGGTACTAGGAAGGTTTTATCTAGATTCCAATACGAGAAACTTCTTTTTAAAGGTCTGTGTACTTACTAATTTTATCAGTTATGGGTTTCAGAATATTATGGGTATCTGGAAGTGCTTAGTTAATTGCCTGTGTTTGTGGATTTATTTCTAAGTCTAGGGTTTGAAATATAAATTAGAAATGCTCCTTGTTCCTGAAATATGATGTATTGTTTATGCTTGTTGATGACATTTTATATTATTATTACTACTAGTATTATTATTATGTTCTAGTAATTATGTGTTTTGTAAAAAATAAAATATCTACTTGTATACAAAGACATTAATTCAAAATTATGTAATTATTTACATTATGTAGTCTTTAATCTAAAAGATATATCCTTCAGTAAATATTTCAATAATACGCCACTATTTTTTTTTAACATTTCATTTTCACAGATAATTTTCTATAGCTACGTTTATGTTTGATGAAGAAACAAATAAAGTGGCATAAATCTTTATGAAATTATGGAAGGGTTCTTTTTTCTAGACCTATTTCGTAATCATCGACTGCTTTCATCATGACGTCTATCTTCGTTTTAATGAAAGGGACAAGGCCGGGCTCTTCGTCTCCCACAATCTTGTATCGTCTGACAATCGCAGCTAAAGCTGTCTTCACTGACATCAAGGCGTATTGGTAACCTGGAAAATTTAATTATTTAAGTATGTTTAAATCGTAACGGTAGAATCGTGCAATTCGGTTTAAGAAAGAAGGAATTAATAAATGTCTCTTGTATTTTCATAAAAAGCGAATGATTTAAGTACATGACTAACCGTGAATTGCAAGTACCAATTTCAAAATCTAGTTCAAGTTAGCATTTGTGGAAAGACGTAAATTGTAATTTTTAGGTATGGTTGCTCGTCCACTTGTACAAATATCAGAAAGTATACAAATATCGTCCACTTGACAACCTAAGTAGTTGATGAGCCTTTGACGGAATTATAAGTAATACCGTGGTAGAAACTGGCTTAGAAAAAACATTACCATATTCATCATCACCACCAAATCATCTGAACTAATACCAACATTCGGTAAATATCGTTTTAACTTGGTGCAAAGTATCTAATTATTAGGTCTAGCATCATTTAAAAATAACCTAGGATTACATTCATTGCTTTCATTTTAAATGAGAGGTAACATAAAGCGTACGCGTAAACGGACGGAATGCCATCGTGCAAGCCGTGTTGGATTATAACTGATTTTGAAATATAGTTAAGGAACTTGTGTATTTTTTGTAACAATACTCCGAGTGTAAGAAATTAACGGCTAATAAAATATCGTGAAATATTTACAGATTATTTGATAAAATAAATATTAAAGCCACCCATATTTCATCTCCATCCGATATAAAATTGTAATGATCATTTTCAATTATATATCGCACTAGCTTTCTATCCGTGCCTTCGCTCGCGTGGGCTTCAATTTAGAAACATCAATAAGTAATACTATTTCGTTCTTAAATTAGCAAAACTGGATCACTTATAGAGACACCTCGGTATTGAGTCTATATTGAACGTAGGAAATTATTAAAATTTGGCAATATAATATACTACAGAAACACATAAGTGAGTTTATCAGATTTGCATTACGAGTATCATACGTTTAGCAACATCTTTTTTTATCGGACATGTCTTCCGCTGTGTTTTTATAAAGTAAAACTTGCCCTGGAATCAAAAATGCGTTACTTACATAATATTATACATAATTAAAGTAAATATAGTTTTGATAATTTAATGTTGAATTTTATGGTCTTTATTAATATTTGCCACATTGAATATTGATTGTCACAATGAAATATACATATACTTAAACCTCAAAATTTCATATGTAGTTCTGTTAACAGTGAACGTGTGAGGAGAACTATATTCATCAACGGGAGTAGAAATATACAGAAGATGGGCAGCAATGTCTTCTATATATAATGCAAATAATAAAAATAAGCAGTTGGCAACTCGCATGGCAATCATTGCAACTACGGCATCATTTCATCATTCATGGTCCCGAGAGCGAATCCAAGTTCAGAGCAAAATCAGTTATTGGATTTTTCTGTCAAGAAATTATCAGTAGCAACTCGGAGTCATAAAGTTGGTGGTGCAGCATGTAAGGCCATTGGTTATGCGCTTAATTTATCTCCGGTCCTGTCAAATGAAAGTCCAGTCAAACTAAAACTACGAGAGTTGAAGAAAAATAGAGAATGTACTCCTACATATTGTTACGAGCTTGAGGTTCGTGACAATAAAAATTGCCGATAAATTACCTAAATTAACACTTTAATTTACTTTACACAAATTAAAGTTAAAAACACTAATAATTAAACACACTAATTCACTTTATTCCGCTCCGAAGCTTCGCTTGTTTCGCCAAATCAACACTACCCCGATCGCATCTCGCAGCGCCTACTTATATAAATTAGCAAAATATCCAGAATGTTCAAGTAAACACGCGCAAGGTACCGAGAGTTCGAGTTTTAAACTTCAAGAAGTTTAGTTCTTCGGTTCGAGACTAGATGGCGCTAGTGCGCCGATTTGAGGCATTGGAGCGCGTAACACTGCCCCCTCCTAAGACATGCTCGTCCCGAGCATTATCGGTCCCATAATAACGCGCTAGGCGATCCACATGGACGATCTTAGGAGTCCCTCTTGCGCCTTTCTGTATCCTACCGGATTACATCGTTGATCCTGGTCACAATCCGGTACGGGTCGTCCCATTTAGCTTGAAGCTTAGGAGATTTCCCTTTTCTGCGGACTGGATTGTGCAACCACACAAGTGAACCTTCGTCGAACCCTTTGTTGTTCATTTTGCGGTCATACCGGGTTTTCATCTTTTCAGACATTTGCTGGCCCGATTGTCTGACGTGCTCATAAACTTCATTCATTTTGTTCCGCAAGTCATTTGCATAATCGGTTATACTGCGTGGAGCATCAGGTGGTATCCCGATGATCAGGTCTGCAGGCAGCCGTAATTCTCTTCCAAAGTTTGTGAAAGCTGGTGTCACTGCCGTACTTTCGTGAACAGCGCTTCGATATGACAACAAAAACGGTTGTATGTGCTTGTCCCAATCTCGTTGCCGATTGTCTACAACTTTTGCTAGGTACCTCTCCAATGTCTGATTAAATCGTTCTACCATTCCATAAAAAGTTCCTCCTGTCCACATTTCAAAACACCTTGCTTAACGTCGATCTCACAACAATTATTCCTCATAAAGTCTAGGCCTAGGATGCAGTCGTCCATTATATCAGCCACGATGACATTATGCAGGTAGATCACATTGCCTAGCTTCAACTCCATCTCCTTCTCTCCACGGACGGGTATACGCTGACCGGTGGCTGTTACCAAATTAATGCGTTCTCGGTTGTATGCGGAGTCCCCAAGGAACTGACTTATAAGTTGGGAACTAACAACCGTACGAGAGGCTCCAGCGTCTATGGTCAGCTTACACGGCATTCCGTTGATCTCGCCCTTTATGATTAGGCTGTTCCCATCATGGGTTTGTGAGATCGAGATCCTTGGGGCTCTTTTAACATCAGCCAGCACCCGCCCCGCAGTTCTGGCTTTTACTCGTTTCCCTGCCGCTGCTGGGCGGTGCTGTTGGCCGCACTACCCTCCTGAGATCGTTCAATTTCCCTATCTAGGGTTCGCTTAGGGCAGCTGGATCGAAGATGGCCCTTTTCCCCACAGTCATAGCACCTTGGGCTGTATCCTTTGTTGCGGTCGCGAACTGTAGCTGCTGCAACCTCCCTGACGCGATGGGAACGATGATCCTGCCGCACGGCTTCCACTTCCAGTGCATGGGCCAAGGCGTCCTTAAGCGTCTCGTGGTGCCCGAGCCTCACAGCAGCTCTGACTTCCAGGTCACGGATGCCATCGATGAATGTCTGCACCAGGTTCCCTTCAATGAGCGCAGGTACAGACCGGTATGCTTTTCGCACCAGCTTCTCCACCTCTAGCGCCCACTGCTGCAGGTTTTCGTTGATACGCTACACGCGATCTTTAAGCTGCGCACGAAAGACGTGTTCCAGGTGAGCGTCGCCATATCTCGCCTCCAATGCCTCAAGGAGTTGCTCATAAGTCACTTCCTCACCGAGAGCTTCCAGAACTGTTAAGGCCTGGTCACGCAGGCCTAGTGTGAGAGCAGTCATGGCCTGACTTTTATTCCAGCCGTTCGCCTTCATAACAGCCTCGAACTGGATTTTGTAGGCTGACCAGGAAGAAGTCCCGTCGAATGGTGGCACCTTGAACCCACGTAGCGAAGGTGTAGTAGCTACTACGGGAGCTGTAGTTCCCTCCCCAAGTTTGAGTTCGTCCAGCGTTTTCTTCACGTCAGCCATTACGTTGTCAAACCGATTGTTTACTTGGTCGATTCGGGTTTCAGCTTCCGACAGGCGGTTGTCATGTTGAGCAACCTTATCCTTCACCTCCCGTATCTCTTTTCCGAAGGTAGCGTGAAGGTCTTTCATAAGGAGCATCTGCTCTTTCTTATCGCGTTGGAGTTGCTCTTCTAAACGACGGGCCTGTTCCTCCTGCCGGCGGGCCTGTTCCTCCTGCCGGCGGGCCTGTTCCTCCTGTCCGCCCCGCAGCTGCTCTTCCAATCGGCGGGCCTGTTCCTCCTGTCCGCGCTGCAGCTGCTGCAGCATCACCATCAGAGCACCTAAGTCAGGTGCTGCAGATGCAGGAGCTACTGACGAACCGGCCTCCGTTGCCGGCGGCTGGCCCTCCGACGTCTGCGGCGTTGCACCACCAAATCTTCTCTGGTCCGTCTCATGCTGGCGTTGACTGCGGGTACGAACACCCTCCGTTTCCTCCTTAGGTAAAATCGGCATGATTTTATCCCACTTCTGACACCAATTGTTACGAGCTTGAGGTTCGTGACAATAAAAATTGCCGATAAGTTACCTAAATTAACACTTTAATTTACTTTACACAAATTAAAGTTAAAAACACTAATAATTAAACACACTAATTCACTTTATTCCGCTCCGAAGCTTCGCTTGTTTCGCCAAATCAACACTACCCCGATCGCATCTCGCAGCGCCTACTTATATAAATTAGCAAAATATCCAGAATGTTCAAGTAAACACGCGCAAGGTACCGAGAGTTCGAGTTTTAAACTTCAAGAAGTTTAGTTCTTCGGTTCGAGACTAGATGGCGCTAGTGCGCCGATTTGAGGCATTGGAGCGCGTAACACTATAATCCTATCCTGCGTTGTTGGCTAGTCTCCATTGAGACTAGCCATCGTGACCGAAATTCGTTCTGTGAGATAATATCATTAATATCTACTAAATGAAAAAATATATCGGTAAGCGAGGTGTATGCCAACTAGATAGAGTAACGAGCTGGTAAGACATGCAGGAAGTCAATGAATGCAGGTGAGCCAGGACCGTGTTTTGAAGTACAAAATACAGGTGAGGACAAAATAAAAATGCTTTATCCATAAAATGACAATACACTATTTACATAACACTACTTACCAACACAGTTTCTGGGTCCATTACTAAAAGGTATATAGCTACACGCGTGTTGCAAATTTAACCTCTCGGGCAGGAACCTGTCAGGGTCAAAGCATTCAGCATCTGGACCCCAATATTTCGGATCTCGATGAACACCCCAAATGCTGACTACTATACCAGAGCCAGCTGGAAGGACGCGACCTGACGCTAGATTTAAAATGAACTTTAGTTGCTTCCAATAATGTGTTATACAGTATGTAACAAAAAACCAGTTGGTCGGTTCAGGGGCGTACACATAGGCATGGCAATTATGATAATGAAAATTTGTTTTGCTAAATTATTAAAATAATTTAACATTCTTAGAAATATTAATAAAATACGTGCACGATATAATATTATTTACGGCCGCTGTGAGGTCACTGACACGGCCGCCATAAAGTAGCTTGGTAAAGCTCGCTTTACCAAGTTTTTTGTGTAAATTGTTATACCTATCTAACCACCGTTATTCTCCGAAAATTAAAATTAAAAAATAATAGAAATTATAATGAAATATATTTTTTCATCAATATGCTGGCAATTTATGAATATTCCATTTCCCTTCTTGAATACCTAGTAATATTTATAATATTGAATATATTAATATTTATTTTATATTTTATAATATCTTTCAAATAAAATTTTAAGAAGTCACTTAACGAGAACGATTCTTAAACCCGCTAAATAGACGACGATGTTTTGACGAGATCTAACAGTTTCTGAAATTGCGTTCATTACAATCTATCAAAGTCAACTACTGAACATCACCGAATATACTGGCTACCCCACAGATAATCTCATAAGGGGTTTGCCATACTTTCCACTTTTGGCAGGCGAGTTGGCACCCGCAGTTTTTTTACTTTGGATCTAGTTGTTGTTAAGAAGATGCTGTGAGGATTGTGTTACACGGGACGATTTGGGTTAGCACATATTCTTTCAACCTCAATATACATTGTATTTGAGTACCTACCTATGTTATAAATTTGCACTTTATTACTAAATAGGGAAAAATATTTAAAAAAGATTATTTCAAGCATAAAATATCGTGACTCATTCCAAATTTGCAACTATTTGTATGAGAAATTTAGTATGTATTTCTCATATGAAATTTGATTCGATAAAGAATATGTAACAGGAATCGTTCTTTAAATAAATTCATATTATTGTTTGTTACAAGAATGTAATAAACAAAACAAAAATTACTATAAAATTCACGGCGTTTCGCTCGCTCCTCAATTTCAAAACCGTTAGCCGACGAGGGACTTAGATATAGGAAAAACCAAAAAAATCCCCCTCTTCGAGTTACCAAAGGTAGCGTTCACTATATGCCGACTAATTTATTTTGATTCACTTATTTTGATCAACCTAATATCTATTATTTATTCCGTGATAAAGGAGACGGTCCATTTCAGGCCCAATTTATGTATACTATACAGTAATAAAAATTTAGAGATTTTATTAAAAATAAAATAAGAGAATAAATCAAACTAAATGACTTGCTAAAAATAAAACTGCTATCCCAATTTTTGATGATTTGACAAGATGGCGCCCTTCCAGTCTAATTATATGTCAAATGTCATGTCTGAAAAGTGACTTGAGTCATGAAATATGTAGGTAGTGTGATATTTTTTTATTCCGATCTTGTCGTGCAGTTTTGAACTCGTGAATGCGTTTATTGTATTTCGTTTAGATTTCTTTGGCGATTAGCTTTTTTTATTTGAACTTTGGATCTGTAATAATAGATACACAACAAGTATTAACTTGATTGACTCGGCTTTTGTTTGGACTTCATGATTTACGTGAAATTTTGATTTCATTGATATCAGACATCTGTAGAATCACATTATAATTACTACATTAATAACTTCATGACAGTTGACAGCTAACGTCAAAACCACATCACCTCGGCATTATTGTTGCAGTTTTTGGTAAGAATAAAATATTAAATACCACTAAAATAAAGGCAAATTCGTGGATTTGAGTGACCAAAAGTAGTATAAAATATTTTTTGCATTTATTTCCCTACTTGTACCAAACCAGGCCTACGCTTCATACAAATTTGGACCGTCTCCTTTTAATATTTTAAAACATGGGTAGTTTTATAGACATAAAATTTAGTCACAATACAGTAGTCAAGATTAGAAATAAAAATAAGTATTGTTTATCGACGGTCGATAAAAAAATGCTAGAAATTAGTAGATTAAGTTACGTTTTGAAAAACACAACAGCATAACAGTTCAAGTATATGGTAATTGTATGGATTTATCCCACAATATGTTATTGTGTGGATTTATCCCACAATATGTTATTGTGTGGATTTATCCCGCAATTTTTTAAATTTCTCATGTTGTTGTAATTGTAGCAAACGAGCGTACGGTTCACCAGATGGTAAGTGATTACCGCCGCCTATGAACAACTGCAGCACCAGGAGAATTGCAGATGCATTGCTGGCCTTTTAAATAGTGGTAGGCTCTTTTCTTGAAAATCCCTAAGTCGTATTGGTTCGGAAAAATCTCCGGTGGTAGTCGATTCCACTAGGAAGTTGTGCGAGGAAGAAAAAGTTTTTTGAATCGCACAGTGGTGGATTGCCAGTCATCCAGATGGTATGGATGATATCGCAAATTTTGTCGTGATGTGCCGATGTTGAAATCGTGTGGCTGAAATTAGTCGGAACAATTTCTCAGAGCACTTTAATATCAAAATTATGTTGTAGAGTACAGTCGCATTGCCACGTTCACGTTCATCTTATATATATACATTGGGTTTAGAATATTCAAAATTTTTATTTTATCTGGATGCCACGTCGCATGCACCAATGAAGGTATACTTTAGTCGTGTGCAATTGCGTAGTAATGTACAATAAAGTTCGACATTTGGAAAAAATGTCGATACATCATCCTCACACCTAGAGTTACGATATTAATGCCCGAACACAGAAACACAGATTAAATCTGCTAACTACCTTAACTTAAGCACCTGTATAATTATAAATAAATTATTTCATGTATAATTTGCTTTCAAATTCAACACAACAATCTCTTATCAATATTTTCATTTTGCACGTACTATATATATATATATATATATATATATTTTTTTATATGTGGACTTTACTTATATAGGCTTTTTTTTATTTTTGAAAATAAAAACATTTTTCCATTAAAAGTGTACGTTTTCTGGTCATTATTTATTATGTAATGAATACTGCAAAACAGTGGCGGTGTAAAAATATCCGTTACTCCATATCGTCCAGTGTATATATCAAGTGTATATAATATGTATGTGTACGACATAACGCGATAAAAGGCCAAATGGATGACCGCACTGGCGTTAACCGCATGATGTTTATAAGCCCTTAGTATATCATTTTTAAAGGCATCACTCATTTAAAAAGAAAGTCCTGTTGAATGCTCTGTATTTCTTGGCATTACTCTCGACGCTAAGCTTCAGTGAGTCCCCATATATCTAAACTAGCAAGCAGACTAAGCTATGCAGCTTATGCTGTAAAAGATATTAGAGATTTCACTAGTATCAAGACAGCTTTATTCGTTTATTTCAATTACTTCCATAGCATAATGTTATATGGGATTTTGCTATGGGGAAATGCGGCTGATTTAGAAACTATTTTTGTTTTGCAGATGAGAGCTATAAGAGCTATTTACAGCCTTAAAAAAGAGAGTCCCTTAGAGAAAAATATGAAGTAATAAATATATTAATTTTGGCTTCTCAGTATATCAAAGAAAATTTAATGTATGCTCACAAAAACAAAGGTAGTAAGTTATATATACTCTGTAAACACTAAGAACATAGTACAACAAGTAATCGAAAATGATTTTTCAATCAAATATTTCCCCCTTCTTGTTACATCATCCAAACATTAAAAGAACATTTGGCCAAATAAACAAAGACAAAAATTTGGAAAATATTAACAATGAAATCAATCACTGTACTTTTTCTTTTTTTTTCGTTTGTTTTTTGGGGCGGGGTGCGTTTTATTTTTTCTTTTTAAAAGCTTTTATTAATTTTGCAAATATGATTCATATACAGATCCACAAAATATAAAAACATAAATGTAAATGTATGGATACTTATATCCTAGTGGTGACCGAGTAAGAAATTTCTCTTTCATTCTATGCTGTATGCTATGAAAATAACCAAAAAAAATCCTGATGGCTTGCAATGGTATAACCATACAACGATCATGTTAACGCTCAAAGTAGCATACTTAGGCAGAATAGCGTCAATGGTCCAAATCGTCTGATATTGTGATTGCCTGTTTGGTCTAGTGATCGTTACTGCGATTGCTGACCATGAGGTCCCGGGTTCAAATGTGGCGTCGGGCCAAATCTCAGTTATTGTGTTTTTCTATCAAAAATTTTTAGGTAATAGCCCTGAGTCAGAAAGCAAATAAAACTGTTGTCCTACGCCTGATATCTCTCCATTTTTGGGGCACCGTCCCATCGTATTGTGACAGTAAAAGAATAGAGAGTCCAGCTGTGTTTGCGCATACACTTGGGTACTATAACCCTGTTTACCGCAGATGGTTAGTTCTCTTTTGCTACTGACCCACGAGACCGAAATTCTGCCTGGAGGACTTGTCAGGCGTGACGATTATCGATAAAAGAAGAACTGGTTAAGCAGTAGATGGATGATGAATACTTACGTAAATCAATATCCTCCAAAACTTTCCTTATAATGAATGGAACTGGAGGAAATAATCTTAGTGATTCTTTTACCACCCTTTCAAGATAATTTAAATGTATTAAGTCTTCTTTAACCAATGGTCGATCAGAGTCACCAAATAATTCTTGTATCCTGTAAAAAGTTTTCATGTTATAAAAATGTACAATTGCTTAATAAAACTAAAGTGACAAACAATCTTAGAGTCCACCTGATGGTAAGTGGCTACTGCAGTCAATGGACACCTTTTTTGTTACATGGGGAAATGCCTACGCATGCCCGCAACGCAACGACAGGGACAGGTTATGTCGGACTCGCAACGACTAAAACCCCATTGTGATACACCTTCGTCTTGGCAGGACCACGGGAACGCTTTTGCACACATCGCCGGCCACACCAGCTCTGTCGACAGCCTCCTCAAGGTCAATTCCTCCACAAGGCCCAGGCCTGGGAGGAATTCCCTTCTCCGTTTCCTTTTCATGTAAGGAACGGAACTCACCTCACCAGGAACAAGAGCCTTCCTTCGCGGCTTCAACTCCACATACGACCCCCGCCCCGAAGTCCAATGAATGCAATAATTTTCTAATCAAGTTTGTAAAAGTAATAGATGTCAAAACAATTAACGCATACAAACAAAAAAAATACACGAATTTAATAGGTTACACTTTACGTCAACCTATTGAAAAAATAATCGAGGTCATTTGCCATGTAGTAGCGGTGTAAAAATATCCACTACCCCATATCGTCCCGTGGCAACAGAGGGAAATTTAAATAGCTGATAGGCAGTAACATCTTCCTGATGACAACTCAAAATAATAAAATAAACTGCCGCTGACAACCCGCTCGCCAGGCGTGTCAAATATTACAAAATCCCCCCTATGAGGAAAATTATGGGGTACGACTATACAGACAATTACAGCCTATAAAAGTCCACTGCTGAAACTCTCTCTGGCCACCCACTTACGTATTTCTGCTGCTATATATAATGATTGTTTCAGTCTTAAGAATACGTATTGTGATTACAATCTCTTTTTTGATATAAAATGTGGTGTTGGTATTATATTTCGGTAGATAAAATTAGTGTTCCGTGTGAAAAAACACAGTCACGACGTCATCCGCGTCAATAAAATCATAAATGTGCTATTGCTTACACTCAGCTCGTTTCTCACTAAAAATATGTTCCTAATGATCTTAGCAACAACAAAAAACTCTCGATAACTTGCTGTCCTCGAGAGTTCCAGGCACAGACAAGAAGCTAGACTCGGTTGCAGTATTAGAGTCACGTACCTCTAATTTTCTAACTCACAACTACACATTACCGGGCTTAAAAATAGACAAGCTAAACAAAGTAAATTTAAAAGATCGCATGAAATATTATAAAACACAGTATGGAATATAAAGATTTAAACTGCTTAGTATTTAAAAGGAATCGTTAATTGTATTACAAATAAATTAAAAAACAACTTACTCTTGAAAAACTCTGTCTTGTACCTTTGGATACTTTGCTAACAATTTTAAAGTGTAACCAATTGCCACAGCAGAGGTGTCTGTGCCTGCTATAGATAAGGTCAGAATTTCTTCTCTCAACTCTTCATCGCTGTATCCTTTCTCACCACCAGAGAGTTTTATCAAAAGATCAAGAAACGATTGTCTCTTGTAGTTTCTCAGGTCTAAAAAAATAAAAATAAAATATAGCATTTCCCTGGTATGTAATTTACTATTTACATAAATAAAATTCACGCTCTTTTTTACGTATTAATATCACATCACTTGCAACAGTGCACTGGAACTTGAGATCCTGCGCTTCTTCCACTGTAAGTCCTACATTTTATATATTTAATGGAAGTATTTAGGAAATTTTGTGTTTACCATAATTATCATCCACTCCTGTTTGATAATTCCTTTCCTTTTTCAATTCTTCTCTCTTATTATGTATAACCTAAAAATATTTTTATTTTTTATTCAGTTGCAGTAGCCTTTTGGAGGTGGTACAAGAGACATCACCCTAACGTAAGGGAGACCAGACTTAAAATACCTAGACATACAATATACGGAATGGTCAAAAGTGCAAAACGTAGCTCTTATCGTTAAATCTGCCTGCCAACGTGACAACGAACATAAATTTGCACTACTAGGTGAGAAGATAAGGATGTAACAAAATAACTACTAATTAACGTTTTATTTATCATCCATTCTAAAATGGTAACCAAAATCCGAGAACGAGCTAATTATTCATGCAAAAAGATCTATAATCATCTATAGATTAAAAAAGACTTTTAAAGAAAAAGAAAAAGAACATTCTTTATTAATATTTGTCCTTGAACCACAATATAAAAATAATGCTATAAATAATAAAAGGTTTTTATGATAAGTTTTTGTTTTGCCGTGCCGTGGTAGCTCAGATGGTTAACGCTCGCTGTAAATATTACAGAACGCGAATAACCCGGGTTCGATCCCCGCCAGCAACAATGAAATTGTCAATTGCAATTTTAAGTGCTGATTTAACACGTGCTCGGCGGTGAAGGAAAACATCGTGAGGAAACCTGCATGTCTGTGGAATAAGAAAAAAAAATATTTCGAAGACATAAGGAATGGGGCAGCGCGGCGGACACTTCTTTGCCCTAAAACCCTCTCAGAAGTGAGGGGAGGCCTGTGCCCAGCAGTGGGACGTATATAGGCTATAACTTTACTTTTACTTTACTTTTGTTTTAAAAAAAAGAGGGGGGGGGGGGGGGTGGGTTTGGGCTGCATTCAAAGAGGGAAGGAATAAAAAAAAAGGAAGGGAATAGTTTTTTTTTTTTTTTTAATAAAAAAAATTTTTTTGGCAAAAAATGTGCTATATTATGTGACGCAACGCCTGCATGTGAATGTTAATTATTACACTTACCTCATCCGTAAAATCATGCATCACCTTTCGATATTTCTGGTGCTTTGAGTATTGGGGAAAGAATTTGTACAGCCAATCAGGTTGTAACCACAAGTGAAAAACTCTTTCAGTCACTAAATTGAGGATATTTTGCATCGCTTTTAAAAATGGCGCATTTGGGTTTTCTTGTGCATTTATTTTTATTCCCATTACCGTCTCTGTTGGAATTAAAATAAGTTATTATTCTAGATAACTTAATAAGTTACCTAGAATAATAAATTTTATAAAACACCATCGAAATCTTTATTCTTGTTCAGTTTTAATTGAAAGAAATAATTAGATTATTTGAAAAAAAAAAACAACTGAAAAAGTAATTTGCGCATAAAATATTGTGAAGTTGTGTGTAAGTGAAGTAAAATACGTTCCTGTAGTAGATATAAGATATTACCATCTGAGATGGTAATATCTTATATCTACTACAGAAACGTCTCCCAATTTTATAACGGCTCGTCGTAGGTTTGATCAGCTCCTATTTATACTCTCAATTCAAATTTTAAGCAACTCTTAAATTTAAGTTTCTTATAGTTGCGCCTAAACACAATTTAATTAAAAAATGGTGTACTAAAACATCAATTTCATTTGAATTACCGTTAAAATTGAGTGTTCCAATAGCCATAAAACCTCTAGAACAAAGAAAAATAGACCTTTGCAAGTAGTGAACTAAATATTGATAACTCTTCGGTTTTACTTTACACTGAACTGCCATCAATCGGTTATATCAGACTAATTTCGTACTGAGCATTGACTTTTCACCAAATTGTGCACAGAGTAACGTCTCCCAAAACAAGCAAATAATAATGATAATTAAAATGATATAATTATTAACTAATTATTTAAATTTTTTATTATTTTATAAATGATTTTCAAATAGTTAATATTCTAGTATAAATGTTTATTTCATTGATTGCAACAGGATTAGCAGCAGGAAATGCGCATAAATTACGTTAAAATTAAATTATTGAGGACTTTAATTTGGAAGCAAAATTAACATGGAATCATTTTTATTTATTCAGATTTAAATCATATTTATAATCAAATATCGTGAAAATCTCAATGAGATCAAACTTTTTTAAATAATTGATACGATTATTATTAAAGAGAATTTTTCGGCCATGGAAACTAGCCTCTGATTATAGATATAAACGGGAAAATGAGAAAACTTCTTATAAACTTTTTTAAAATGCCAACTGAATATTCCAAAGAAAGTGTCTTAGTACCACAGCGTACTACTGCATTAACTTTTACTTACCACACACAGCGTCCAGCGTGTAAGTGCTGAGGAAGCGCCAAACGCTGACTTGGCCACAGCCTTCAACCTCCTTTAATTGTAACGCTAGCTTTTCGCTTTGTTCTGAAAATACTTCCACGAAACTTTCGACTATTTTTGGACTAAAAGCTGGAATTAATGTCTTACGCCGTTTCCTCCAGATTGCCACTTAACAAAAATAATCAAATAAATAGTCATTATTATTACCACAAAATCTACAGATAATTCAAAAATCACCTTAAATTTGTTTTAAAATTTTGTAATTTCAAGAGCTTTTAAGACATTATTAAGACCAGTTATTCGACTTCAAAGTGAGAGAAATTCGTTCATGGGGCATTGGGTATAAATTTCTACAACACTCTCCGAAAATACACAATTTACAAAAAAAAAATAATGTTTATCAAACCAAAGATCCTCTCCAAAGAGTTTTAATTTAAATTAACAACATTCTGAATTATTTTTAAATTTCTACTGGGTTTCTTTCTGCTTTTTCTTAAAAAAGAGGTTTTTTTTAACTAGTTATTAAAACGACTATTGGTATACTTGCTACATAAGCAAGTACCTTACCATCTTACGAATCAAGTGAAAAATTCAAAAGATTCGCAGTAACATCTTTGAAATTCTTAAATTCTTATGCAATTAACTTATAAAAATGAGTAACTATGCGCAGGTACCACCACCATTCTCATGAACATCTTCGTTTAGGCGATAAATTCCTACAAAGCGTCTGGATACCAGACATACTGGTGTTGGAAAGCAGAATCGCAATTTCCCTCTGTCGCTTGATACGACACTTACGGAATGATATAAATACCCATTGGACTCTCTTATACCGCCACGTTATATGTTCGTTTTGAATAATAGAAAACTGAGTCAATATGTAAATTTTAATTTAAAATAATTATATTTATAAATTTAGTTAAGTAAAAAAAATTAGTAAGTCTTAGCCAGTAACTTTGCTTTCTGATAATTTATCTATTAAAATACAGCAAAAAATCTTACCTGGTGCAAAAATTCCACCATATCCGATAATTTTTCTCATGAAACGATGCAGATCATCCTTCTCCAAACAAGTTTTTAACACCATTTCCAGGTCCAATGGATCTACAACAACTGTTAGAATAGTATTTAATAAAGATTTCATTAAACGAAATAGGCTTCAAAATTAATAATATTATAATTCATTACAATTCAAAAGGATACAATAAGAGTACCAGCAAAATTCTTACGAGAGATATACCTATGTTAAAAAAAACATGTCTGTTCCGTGAGGGTGCTTTTACGTATCGTAATATCACAGTATAAAGAGAGACTTTAAACTGTGGTAATAATTATGATTCTGTTTATATAATCTTTTTTTAAATGGGGAAACCTACATGGCAATATAATATAATATACTACGCGGGCAACGTGATGAGCGGTCACGTCTTCGACGATGGTGCTGCCAGGTTTTTTTTATAGGAGTGGATGCAAACGAGCATGCAGCTCACCTGATGGTAAGTGATAACCGCCGCCCATGAAAACTGCAACACCAGGGAAATTGCAGATACGTTGCCGGTCTCTTAAAGAGGAGTAGCTCTTTTCTTGAAGGTTGCTAAATCGTATCGGGCCCGATAAATCTCTTGTGGTAGTCGATTCCACAAGGAAGTTGTGCGAGGAAGAAAACTTATTTTTAATCGCACAGTGTTGGACCGCCAGTCAACCAGATGGTACGGATGGTATCGCGAGTTTTTGCTGATTTTATTAAATCTATTTACTTACTTTAAATAAAAATAACATTTTAAATTCATTTCAACTATAATATTTTTATAATATTGAATTAAAAATTAATTTTATAACATCAATTTTTTTCATAATGTATAAATCAAAGCATCACATCATTTCGTACAAGTATAATACTTGGCTTACGAAAGTAAAGGATATGTCCGAGCCATCCGCGCATAATGCCATCATTCTTCATCGCAAAATAGCTGTATTTTTGTAGTGTTGTCATTATATCTGAAATCAATTACAAAAAATAAGTTGCATCAAAAAAGCTGTGAGTTTTTGAGTTATAACGTGCATAGTTACTTTCGTATAAAAATCGTATCTCAAGAAACAAATTTTGAAATTAAAATTTACATTAATAAATTTTCGTATCACTTCCATAATTAATACAGCTGCATGTACACGTCGAGTAGATACTTATATAAATAATAATAATAATGTCCTCCAGACCGAATTTCGGTCACGGCGGCCAGCCTCAACGGAGGCTAGCCATCGACGCAGGACAGGATTATAGTGCCCAAGTGTATGTGCAAGCACAGGTGCACTCTCTATTCCCTCACTCTTATAATCAATCCGATGGGACGGTAAACCAACACGACCGGAGAGAAATCAGGCACAGGACCAACGGCTTTACGTGCTATCCGGGGCAAGGGGGTGAGACACCGCTAACTTCCTGACTCCGGGCAGTTACTGAGAATTTCTTGACAGAAAAACTCTATATTTGAATTTTTTGGCCCAACCCGGGATTCAAACCCAGGACCTCATGATCAACAGTCGCACTACTACAACCACTACACACGAGGCAGTCAGATACTTATATATATACACATATAAACATAATCCTTCACTAGTTTTAAGACAGTTTCTATAAGTATGTATATAAGTATGTAATGGCAATGTAGATATTGGTCGTTTTATTTATGCACATACTAAATTAATATAAATCTGCATATTTAATATTAAGATGGTGTACAATTAAAGCAAAAATAAATTTGTATATTATATCATAAATATGCACGAATTTGATCTAACTTGCAGCTTAAAAAACAATTTAAGTGAGGAAAATGTTTCCTTCCAACTTTATTTTCGTGTTTATTTTATCAGGAACACTTATCATACATTTGTCGCAATCATAATGACTTTATTATACACGTACTATTACACAATAGTGCTCTCCATTTTTATTTAGGTAGTATATTCATATTTTAACAAAAAAATATATTCTATAAATAAGCAAGTCCTGCTTTCAGTAATGGGAGCAAATACATAGCGGCTTAAGATTAATAAGTAAGAAGGAACTTGTTTCCTTTGCAACGACTTCTATAATTTGACTTCAGGCAGAATTCGCCTTTAACAACACTTGAGTTGGTAATTGCGGTGCCAGATATCTAAACGCTGATTCACGTCACCGGGCTGAGTATTTTTTCTGAAAAGGCCAAATGGTCTTTTTTTAAATTGCAGGGACAAACGAGCTCAGAGTCTACTTGGTGATAAATGACTAGTGCGGCACATGGACATCTGCAACTTACTTCAAACGATAAAGACTAGAGAAGCCTTGCTTCCTCTCAGGACTTAGATGGAATGCCTCACAGCGTATTATTATCCTGGCTCTATACCTTTCAGTCTGTAACACAGCAGTGCAGGCACAACTGCTTTGGAGGCAGAAACAGATAGGAAGGTCGGAAAGGAGTCCCACCGCTTAACAATTGTAATTATATTGAAATCGTTTTTTTTTACTATATTTTTTATTTGAAAGGGCTTTCATCATACAAGGATATATCAGTCTCATCATACCATGCCTATTCCTGTTACAAATATATAGGTAATGACGAAGATTTAGAAAGGGGAAACCAATGTGATAGGAACATAGGAATTAATGGCCTTACCATCTCTAAGTGTGGCGACGCAGGTATACTCAGAACCAACCTATTTCACCCAAACTAATTTTTTTTACTAAATTCTCCCTTTCCCTACTGATATTATATTTATATTGATACTGATATTTGACACATTCAGCTAGCATATGTTGGATATCTTCTAAAATATGACAAATATCGCAATTGGGCAATCATGTTTTTTTTTTCAATTGAGATCAGATCCATATTTGGTGCCAATTAATTAACATATTTTGCATCTAATTGCTTTAATACATTTTTTCTAAAACACATAGATCCATTAATGTTATTCTTCCTTTAAACACAATCTAAATTCATTTGAACTTACAGAAATAATATTGCTATTAATGCTTAAAGTAATATCTTTTCTTTTGTAACCTCCAGTAAAAACACATAATAAATTATTATTATTATTAGCTACTACACCCAGAAAAAATTATTGGCATATTGAGACACCATGAGATTTTGAATCTGCGACAGATCCTGAAGGTTACTGTATTAAAAACTAAGGGAGATATTAGATCTCCTTAAGCAAGACCCCTGTTGGTGGTACTTAGGTGTCGAGAGCACAACACTTTTTCTCATCATTTTCTCTCGCTTAAGAACGACTAAAGTTAGTTGTACTTCCATATACCTTTGCTCATTCCTATTTCATTTATAGTCTTAACAACTTTATCCACTAAAATATTATGATATGAATAATCAATGTCTAAAAAACGAGCCGCAATTGGGGTACTATTAGCAAAACCTAAGTTTGTACAAGTTACCGGCCTTGATAAATAGAAGAAGGCCTTACGAGAAGTAAAATTTCTACATACCATTTTATTCTCTCTTCTAATTGTGAAATACGTTACAGATACAGGAAATGAGAGAAATAAGTCTAAGTTTAGTTTCACTATTTATTTCAGCACCTAGCTAGGGGCTACTATAATTGTATGCCCCTACCTCGGTACCATGTTGGACCTAGATATGGCATTATATAAGTTCAAATTATTTTTTTTTATCAGCTGAAGGTAAATTAAAAACTATGGAGTAAATGATTCCATCATTACCCGGGACAGGGTTCTTCTTTTTAAGGCTATGATCTAATTCTTGCATTGTGAACGTTAATTTAAATAGCTCATTACACGATACAAACTATAGTGTGTAACATATTGCAGATCCTGCCGTAAGGGAGTAGAAGTAGGAAGTAGGTCTTTATTTTTATCCTCAGATGCACAAAATGTTAATTGTTGACACCCTTCAAACTAACGCATTTTTCTCCACTTATCTGATACAGTTGTTGACAGATCAATCTCACTACAAAATTCCTTGCAAGCAAGGGATTTCGCCTTTTATATTTCCTTTTTAAGCCTTTGTTACTATATCTTATGATTCGTTATAATTATATTGCATAGAATTTTTTCTAAATATATTTAGGGCAATTCCAATTTTTAGAAGTAAGCGATAAAAAAATAGATTAGTTTTTAGATTAATATAAAGTTTTTTTCTTTTTTACGATTGTTTGGTTATGGAAATATAAGATTTATTACTGTATAAAATGTACGTTCTGCTACTGCTCTCGATAAAGCCGGGCACCAATTGTCCCTTGATTTAAATCTAATAGCTGGTATTAAACAAAATTTGATTATTATTACGTTTTTATTCGCTGATATATTAATTTGTTCAAGCACATAGTGGGTAGTATGAATTTTGAATATCGCTCGTCAAAAATCATGATGATATCTCATATTGATTTCTTAAATTTACGTGAACACTACACGTTGAATAAAACCACTTATACGGATTTTATCGCGTTTAGTTAATTCGCAAACGGTTGTGGAGGCGAAAATAAAAATTCACACATTATTCACGTAATAATATACGCGAAGCGGTTGGTGGAACCAAACCTCCACAAGCCATGAGATCATTACTATTCCCATACGAGATAGCAGCTACTTACCTGCAGGTCGAGTTTTGGGCAGAGTGGAGAAATAAATACGTAAACACCCATAGTTTTTTACCAAAAAAAAATACCACACTTAAGCGGATTTTATCACGTTTAATTTATTTATTTTTAACTTCTTTTTAATTCCCGACGATTTTTTATTCCCTTATAATTAACAAAATTAAATCCAAATCCAAGCATACTATTGCAAGATTTCAAGATAGTTTAAGATCGTTCTGTGTAGATCAGACCAAAAATTATTCGAAAACTGAAGATATCCGGACTAACTATGACATTGGGAATTTAAACATCTCAGTCCCCCGTGACGATGGGTGCTGTAAAGCAATTAAAAATAAGTTAAGTGAACGCGATTAAATCCATATAAGTGATTTTATTTGATGATAATATCTCTATGAGAATGAATTAATTTAATCTCTTTGGGATAATTTCCATTCAGATTGTTCAAAGTTACGTTTCTTGTGACTTTCAAAATAATATTTGAAACTAATTGATAGTTTTGTAATAAGGCGGTCGCTTCCTAAATTTTCGTCAAGTACCCGCCATTTAAAGTTACGAAGCTTAGGTTACCAGGTGATTGATTATTTTCGTAAACCATTCCTGAATAATTTAACTCTAGTTGCCTCACCATTATGAATGGATGTAAAACCGTTATATTGGGATGAATGGAATAGCTGTATAACTCTCTCGTCCGTTTTATAGGATCAAGTTTATGTGATGCCCGTTAAAATCGCGCAATAACTTTGAATAAGCGTACTCATACAATCTAAAACAACATTTTACGTAAATCCAAAGAATTCTGAAGCTATCCGTATTTCATTATATCATGTGTTGTTCTTTATCACTGTTTTTCGAGTCTATCAAATAAAGTAAAATATAAAAAGTTTAACCAAAATCAACTTTTTTGTTTGACGTTATTTCAATGATACATTATGTACCTTATTTTATTGTTTGGATGATTAAAATTCGTACTAATCGATATCGGTATAATATTGAAATAATAGAATCTTTACATTTTTAACTTTGTTTTAATTTCAATATATTATTTTTAAACTTTTTTTATCATAAATTACATAATTTAAATGAATAATGATATAGGCAAGTCATTTTTTCTATAACTTCTGTGATACCACTCCGATGAAGTTGCGGGTAAGTTTAGAAGAAGCAGACTTTGGTAAAAAAATTCACAACCGCAAAATAATTATTTAGAGAAATGAAAGAAAAAAATGAGAGAAATTAAAAATATTATCATTTGGGCATAAGCTATGTTCATTGATAAAACATGACTAAACGCCAACCACACTGTGCTGCAGACAGATGATACGTGTCCGTGGTAATAGGTGAACGCCGCAAAATTTGCCATGGGATAAGGGATAACTGTATGGAGTTTA